GGTGTTTATCAGATAAAATCCCTAGGAGGAGTTCGTTAAAATACAACGCCTGGAAATGGCAAAAACGCCACTTTTTCGCCGCAGGAAGTCAAAAATATCTAACTTCCTGTTGGGTTTGAGATATGGCTCCAAGAGACTTTTTCGTATGTTTTGGCATGTTTGAGGAGTGTGCCAATTTTCGTGCATGTGCGTGATTCGTGGATCGGGGGCTCGTCCGTTTAAATTTTCTAGGTGGCGCTGTCGAGTCATTTTGCCACACCTCTTTCCGAGACCCATAATAAACGTAAATTTTCGCCACTTCTGAGGCGTGTGCGAAGTTTTGTGAGTTTTCGGGCATGTTTAGCCCCTCAAAACCGCGATTCATTCCGCGGAAGAAGAAGAAGAAGAAGAAGAAGAATTAAAGCTGCAAGCAGCGATGATAGGGACCTCGCACCCGGGCTCACCGCCGCCCGGTGGCCTCAGGATGACAGAGAACAGCGAACAGTAATAATTTAAGCCATTATATTTAAAAAATCTGAGAAAATCACCGATTTATGCCAAACCTCCTCCTCTCAGCAGGTGGCGCTTTGACTGTGACTCAAGATTGGCATGTAGATGTCACCAGGAGAGGAATCTTATCAATCATGTGAAGTTTCAGGCAGATCGAACATTGTTTAGCTGAGTTATAAGCCAAACTGCCTTTTGTCAGCAGGTGGCGCTACGACAGACTCAATGTTGTTATGTAGATGTGTTCAGGAGAGGACTTTTATCAACCATGTGAACTTTCAGGCAGATCGGACTTTGTGTGGTTGAGTTATAATGCAAACTACCAACTGCCAGCAGGTGGCGCTATAACTGTGACTTAAGATTGGCATGTAGATGCCTTCAGTAATGGAATTTAATCAACCATGTGAAGTTTCAGGCAGATCGGACATTGTGTGGCTGAGTTATAAGCCAAACTACCTGTTGCCAGCAGGTGGCGCTATGACTGTGACTCAATATTGGCACGTAGATGTCTTCAGGAGAGGACTTTTATCAACCCTGTGAAGTTTCAGGCTGATTGGACATTGTGTGGCTGAGTTATAAGCAAAACTACCTTCTGTCACTAGGTGGCGCTATGACTGACTCAATATTGGCATTTAGATGTCTTCAGGAGAGGAATTTAATCAACCATGTGAAGTTTCAGGCAGATCAGACATTGTGTGCCTGAGTTATAAGCACTTCCTTTTTCATGGCGAAGCGTTGAGGTTTGTCATGCCACCACATACACGCCCCTCTACGAAAACTCTAGATCTTCACAATATATCATCGCTTGAGCTTTCAGATACACAACCAACCAAATTTGGTGCTGATATGAAAACATTTGTGGGATGAGTTTATTACTTTGTAAATCATGACATTTTCTGTGGTCAGCAGGTGGCGCTATAACTGTATCTGGATATCGGCATGTAAACTTGTTCTGGTCTGGACTCTTATTAAACGTGTGAATTTTGAGGCAGATCGGGTAATGCATGCCTGAGTTATAATGACTTCCGGTTTTGTGGCGAATCGTTAAAGTTTGTGAGGCCGCCACGGACACGCCCATCGACAAAACCTCTAAAGCTTCGCAATTTAACATCGCCAAGGCCTTTAGATGACAAAACCCAATTTTGGTGTCGATAGCATAAAATCCCTAGGAGGAGTTCGTTAAGATACAAAGCCTGGAAATGGCAAAAATGCCACTTATTTGCCGCAGGAAGTTAAAAATATCCGACTTCCTGTTGGGTTTGAGTTATGGCTCCAAGAGACTTTTTCGTATGTTTTGGCTTGTTTAAGGTGTGTGCCAATTTTCGTGCATGTGCGTGATTCGTAGATCAGGGGCTCTTCCGTTTAATTTTTATAGGTGGCGCTGTCGAGTCATTTTGCCACGCCCACTTCATTATTGTTATGAGGATGTGTTCAGGAGAGGACTTTTATCCACCATGTTAAGTTTCAGGCAGATCGGACATTGTGTGCTTGAGTTATAAGGACTTCCTGTTCCATGGCGAAGCGTTGAGGTTTGTCATGCCGCCACGGACACGCCCCTCTGCGAAAACTCTAGATCTTCACAATATATCATCGCTAGGGCTTTCAGATAACACAACCCAAATTTGGTGCTGATACAAAAAAATTTGTGGGAGGAGTTTGTTACGATGTAAAACATGTCATTTCCTGTGGCCAGCAGGTGGCGCTATAACTGTATCTGGATATTGGCATGTAAACTTGTTCAGGTCAGGACTCTTATCAAACGTGTGAATTTTGAGGCGGATCGGATAATGCATGACTGAGTTATAACGACTTCCTGTTTTGTGGCGAATCGTCAAAGTTTGCGAGGCCGCCACGGACACGCCCATCGATGAAAACTCTAAAGCTTCGCAATTTAACATCGCCAAGGCCTTTAGATGACAAAACCCAATTTTGGTGTCGATCGGATAAAATCCCTAGGAGGAGTTCGTTAAAATACAACGCCTGGAAATGGCAAAAACGCCACTTTTTCGTCGCAGGAAGTCAAAAATATCCAACTTCCTGTTGGGTTTGAGATATGGCTCCAAGAGACTTTTTTGTATGTTTTGGCATGTTTGAGGTGTGTGCCAATTTTTGTGCATGTGCGTGATTCGTGGATCGGGGGCTTGTCCGTTTAATTTTTCTAGGTGGCGCTGTCGAGTCATTTTGCCACGCCCACTTCAGAAGACCATAAAAAAGGTAAATTTTCGCCACTTCTGAGGCGTGTGCAAAGTTGCGTGAGTTTTCGGGCTTGTTTAGCCCCTCAAAATCGCGATTCATTGGAGAGAAGAATAATAATAATAATAAACGGAGCAATTCCAATAGGGCCTTGCACCGTTCGGTGCTCGGTCCCTAATAATAAGAAACGGAGCAATTCCAATAGGGCCTTGCACCGTTCGGTGCTCGGTCCCTAATAAACGGAGCAATTCCAATAGGGCCTACGCACCGTTTCGGTGCTCGGTCCCTAATAAACGGAGCAATTCCAATAGGGCCTTGCACCGTTCGGTGCTCGGTCCCTAATAATAATAAACGGAGCAATTCCAATAGGGCCTTGCACCGTTCGGTGCTCGGTCCCTAATTAAAGGATCTGTTTGTGTTCAAGAAGTGCTAGAGTTAGAAGTGGGGTGTTTTGTTTTTGTTTTTTAAAAGGAAGAAGAATGTTTTTACAGGTGGTTTGTCAAGACCACTCACCTGAGTAAAGCACACTTTATAAATGCACTTTTTCTTTTCTTCTCCATGGAGCGGTTTGTAAGAACATGTCCAATGCAAATGTGCAAAACCAATGATAGTGATGGTTAAAGTATCACTTACACAAGGAATGTTAACTGAAACTATAAAGTTTTAATAATTGTATTCAATCTATTAATAAAAAAGTTCACACCACCGTTTTAACAATAATAAAGAACAATATGCTAATCATTTATCTTTTTTTAAACAGCCTTTGTAAAAATATTGACAGCCAATCAGAATCCACTTGACTTTAAAGAGATCAAGCATTTAAATTTGTGAACGATAAATCAGGAGGCCATGCTTCTGATAAACCAGGCATTGTTTTCTTGTTAATGGTTAAACGAGTCACAAAACCCACGTGGTTTTTGAGCAGTGGTTCAGATCATGTTTTGAATCCGCAAAAAATAGCCTGACAAGTATATTTTTTTCAATTTATAATAGGAACACATGATTTTAACAAAAGTAACCAATGGAACGTGTTTGAGCATAGAAAAATTTAATAAATAGCCTGCTAAAATTAATAATACAGTATTTTATTATAACATTTTATTTAATTCAGACATGATCACACTTTACCACCTTTTGTTGACAAATCAAGATGCAAAAGCTTTCTTTCTTAAGGATGTAATAACCAATAGAAAGAAACGAATAGCTTCTGGTAGGAACAAACTTGCTTCTGACCTTTTAGCTCTGTTGTAATATTACAGGTTAATATAGATTAATTTAATAAGATGAATACATGTGTGAAGCATGAAGCAGCACATTATAGGGTAGGCTTACTTTATTTTTCTGCAACAGTTGGCATAATATTGCTTTGGATGACAAAATGGCAACAAATTGGAACAGTTTTGTCCACATTCATTACATCATCATAATCTCTGAATATAGTGGCTTCTATTGTTTAGTTTTTTTTTTATTATTCATGCTGCACAGTTTGCATCTGTGTAGATGCGCTGTTAGCTTTTGTGAGCAATCTGCAAATGACAGTGGTTTAATCTCATGTTTACTGTCATTTTGTTTAAACATAAAATACTTCCATAAATCAGTTTAATTTGATTTAATTTAATTTAAAATTTTAAACCGCCACTGGCTTCTATTGGCTACTGTGACCTTCTGACATGAATCGTCTGTGTGTTTAGCGGCTGGAAAGATCTCAATGTCATCTTCAGGATGTAGAGATGAAGTACAGATTTACATCGTCTTAAGCGCGCATAATGAGAAATGATTTAAGAATTTCCCTAATCGATGTTGTTTGGTTAAATTGAAGCCTAATTAAAATCTAAATCTATAGCTCTAAAGCATTTTTGAGGGCATACAAGAAGATCTGCGCTTGAGCAGCATGTATAAACCATTTCAATGTGGTCATGTAATTGGCCCATGAACATTTCTTGCTTGTTATCAAACTTTTTCATAACTGTAACAAGAGGCAATTCAATCATAACTTAATGTTAAAACAGCTCTCACAACATTATTTATTGATATGTGGCTCTTTTTGGATGTTATAGAAGCTATAGAGATTAAAAATGTAAAACAGGAAATACGTTGGGTCCATTGGTTTTGTTTACATCCCTCAAAACGGCCTATTTTAGAAGGCGCAAGAAGTTTTGTGCTCAAACAGCGTAGGTGTACATTTATTTCTATAAATATGTATAATATGATAATTATTTTTAAATATGTATAATAAATGGGCCTTATATAATAAATGGGCCTTTACGTTTTTTCTTCATAGTGTCTCTGAAATGCTGTTTTTTTTTTTTTTTTATTATCAGGTGAGCCGAACTTACTGCTGTGGGACATATAGAGCCGGTCCCATGAGGCAGATCAGTCTCGTGGGTGCAGTAGATGAAGAGGTTGGAGATTTCTTCCCAGAGTTCTTGGACATGCTTGAGGAGTCTCCGTTTCTGAAGGTTAGGACGTAATCTCTCACAGATGACTGAGTTTGAAAGGCCTTGCTCTGATGCTGTTTTGTAGTGCAAATGGGGTTTCAAATCACTATTTGCCAGCAGAGATTCTTATCATTTTGCAGCTATAAGTTGTGATTTCTTACTTTTTTTTAAATGATTTGGTTTACTAAAAAAGACATTTGTTGTTTTTTTTTAAACTACTTATTTACAATGAGCTGAAATAACACAGCTATTGTTTTTTTTTTTGTTTTTTTTTGGAACAACCTAATTTTTATGTTCAATCCATTTACATTTGTAAAAACTAACGAGTTACCTTTATTCCGTCATGTTGTCCCAACACAAATCAGTTATGTGGAACCCAGCATTTTTTAAAGTTCTCATAACTAAAAAATTTGAGGTTTTAGTTTGTCTGTATTTGTTTGCTGCAAAACGTATGACTATTATTATTTTTTTTAAATATCACTTATTTACTCACCAACACCTGATTTATTCAGAATCAAAATTGGATAAAGTGGAATATATTTTAGCTGTACTTTTATTCCTGTGATGCAAGGCTGAAAATTCAGCCTACAATAATTCTAGTCTTGTCAAATGATCCTCAGGAATCATTTGAATATGCTGATTTGCTGTTGGTGAATGTAGTATGATCTCATGTTGTAAAATGGTTGGCCTGCTTGATGTTTTTAATGATATACTTTTTGCTAAATTGTAATGATGAATTCACCATTTATTTTGTAACAAATTTTCAAATTAGCAAAAAAAAGAGAATATATTGAATTTTTGGACCATTGTGTTGGGAGTTACACATTTTTGTCCAGCAAACATGTCCTCTTGAAACCATTTAGCCGATGATGATGTTGATGATGTTATGGCTGATAACTTATTGAAAATATTATATTGAAGTTTTAAAGTAAAACAGAGATCAACTCTAAAATCCAAAACCAAACATGTTAAATGCCTTTAGCTTAAACTTGATGTCATTATATTATACAGCAGAGGTGCCAAAACTTTTTCTTATGAAGGGCCAAAAACCAACCTTGATTAAGGCTAGTGGGCTGAAGGTGAACATTGTTGCCAAGAGTAAATTCCTAACTTATTTAATGATATTTAAAAATAACTAAAATCATTGCTTTATATGAACTAATACAACATAATTCTTTAACATTTAATTATGAACTTATTACAGTATGTACAAAAACAATCTCATTTAAAACAGAATGCAGTTGCACTAGATTTTGCCCTGATTTGCTCACTGATGTCTTTTACATAGTCCTTTATCTGTCGAGTGGCATTGTTTACAATTCAAAATACCAGATTCATTTATAACATTTCATTTCAGTTAGCTTTTTTGTAGCTCAGCAATAAAACAAACAAAAAAGATTGTCATTAGAAATTACCTTCTCAGATGGAATAGTCAGTCTTCTCAGATGGAATAGTCAGTCTTCTCAGATGGAATAGTCAGTCTTCTCAGATGGAATGGTGGGCCAAATCAAAGGTTACATTGGGCCTACTTTGGTTTGCGAGTCCTACTTTGGGCAGCTCTTTCCTGTTACATTTAACATTATTTAAATTAAAACATATTTTTGCCCCATTTTATTGTTATCTGGAGAGTCTTTAAAGGAATTATTTTTACATGTAAATTCTTCAAAGACTTGAATTTTTAATAAACTTTTCCAATTTTTTCATATTATTTTTCTTATAATTTTTTCATATTTTCACAATTTTGCATATTATTTATTTGTTTGAAGACTTTTTGTTGTTATAAACCTTTTAATCACAGAAAAGTGTTATTTTAGGAAAAAGTTTGTAAATTGGACCTGTGCTTTCCATAGAATGGCCTTTATTGAATTTACGTTTTTAAAGATTAATTCAAGTCAAGTTAAAAATTTGTAAAATAAGCATGTAAACATAAATAAACCAATGTTAAATAGTTAAAATAAACCTCTGATATCAGCCAAAGTTTTGCATTCCTAAATAACAGCAAGTTGAAAGTGTCATGAATAATGGCTGTGACATGTTTGCACTGATATGTTCCGCCCGACATCCTGTTTCAATGGGAATTATGTAGGCACAAAGAAAACCACATTCATCCAGCAGTCATTTCTTGACATTCAGACAATGGTCAGAGCAAGGCTATTGCATTGCTTTAGCTTCCCAGCTTACATTTTGTTTATCCGTGCAGATGACTTTACCATGGGGCAGCCTGTCCAGTCTGAAGCTTGACTGCAGGTCCCAAAGCGATGACGGTCCCATCATGTGGGTCAGACCTGGCGAACAAATGGTTCCCACAGCCGACATGCCCAAGTCTCCGTTCAAGAGACGAAGGTAGGTACATTTGACTTCACAGAATCGCTTTCCTAAATATAGCCATTTGTGGCTCCTCATAAAACGCTTTGCTTTTGCTTGAAGATCAATGAACGAGATCAAGAACTTGCATTACCTCCCGAGAGCCAGTGAACCACGTGAGGTTCTGTTTGAGGATCGGACGCGAGCACATGCTGATCATGTTGGCCAGAGTTTCGACTGGCAGAGCACAGCAGCTGTGGGTGTCCTGAAAGCGGTGCATTTTGGGGAATGGTGAGTGCAGCCATCTGCTACTTTGGACCATGTGCATGGGCTTGTATGTGCAGGACGTTGAGGGTGTAGTTAGCTATAGGTTAAAATGAACTTTTGGTGTTTTTATGCCTCAGTAGGAGTGACCAGCCACGGATAACCAAAGATGTGGTCTGTTTTCATGCTGAGGACTTTAATG